CCATAGAAGGCATGATCCTCATTTTATAGATGAGGAAATTGAAGATCAGAGACATTAAATCACTCCCTCAAAGTCATTCTGCCACTTGTTTCAATATAGCAGAGCCCGGCACATAGTGTGCACTCAAATGAATAGTGTTGAAAGTTGAGTGAATCTTTCTGGGAAGCAATTTTCATCATGTGTCAAGAGCCTCAAAAATGTGTATATTTTTTGAATCAGCAGTTTCACTTCTAGGAATAGTCAGAGATATGGGCAAAGATCATGTGTGTGTAAATGCAATAATTCATTTTGTCACTGCAACCTCATTTTAAAAAACAATTTTTGGAAACATACCCAATATCTAAAAGGGAGAGTCAAATAAATTACAGTAGTGTTATACAGCCATTATAACAGTATTTTTAAAGAATTTTTTATGACATGGGGTAGTGCCCACCATAGGGTGTAGAACTAAATATATATACTATGGTCTCAGCCATGTCTTAGAGAAACACATGCAGAAAAATTACTAAAATAAAATGTACCATAAATATAAATTATGCCTAAACAATCGAATATTACATGATTTTATTTATTTTTTTAATATTTATTTATTTGAGAGAGAGCACAAGCAGGAGGGACAGAGGGAGAAAGAATCTCAAGCAGACTCGAGCTGAGTGTGGAGCCTGACGTGGGGCCCAATCTCATCACCCTGAGATTACAACCTGAGCCAAAACCAAGAGTCCATTGCCTAACCAACTGTACTACCTAGGCTCCCCTACATTTTGTTTTTTATTTAATTCATTAAATTCCTGGCATAATCACTAGATGAGATAGCTAACTCCATTAGACACAGACTAATTCCTTAGTCACTTGGCAAGTTTAGAATTTCAGGACTTAGTTAGATCATGTGACAGCATCAGTTATGTGTCCAACCCTCTGCTAAGCCATGAAGAAATCATAAAAAGGATGATATATACTTCCTGCCTCTCAGTCAACCAACATTTATTGTCTGCTGTGTGCCATGGATCAGGAATACAGAAATGAAAAAGGCATAGTCCCTGCCCTCAGGGAGTTCACCCTGGATGGCCAACAATTATGTGCATGAAGTAAATGCACCATTTGTAGATAGTTTTTTTTTAATTTTTATTTATTTATTTTAGAGAGAGTGCATGCACATTCTCACATGAACAGGGGGAAGAGCCAAGGGAGAGGGAGGGAGAGAATCTCAAGCAGACTCCCTATGCATCACTGAGCCCAGTGACATGGGGCTCAATCCCATGACCCTAAAATCATGACCTGAGCTGAAATCAAGAGTCGGACACTTAACCGACTGAGCCACCCAGGTGCCCCATAAATGCACCATTTGAAGTAGATACAAGATAATGTGTATGTTAATGGCAGTCAGGTGTAGGGTGGGCTAGACATGGCAGGGTTTTCTAAGAGGGAGTTTGAAGTGTATTGAAGGAGCCATTTAGGAAGGCTAAGATAAGAAACAGGTTTCCAGGCAGTGGTAGCAGTATGAAGGCAAAAGTTTCTATTTTATCTTGAGTGGGAGATGGTAACAGATTCACCTTTTTAAAAATTTAGCATGAAAGTGTGAAATATGAACCAAAAAAGGTGTGGGGAGAGCTAGACAAAAGGCTATTGCTTTAATTCTGAAAGCAGGAGGACCTAGGTCAACACAGAAACAGTGAAGATGGTGAAAAGAACAGAAAGTAGAGAGCTGTGTAGAAGGTGAGCTTTAGTTGTATGGAGTAAAAGGGAGAATGTATACTAGAACCCCAGATTTCTGAACTGAGGAGCTGGGAAGATAATGGGGGTTTTCACTGAGCTGAGGACCCCAAAGGAAAGACTGAAGTGGAGGGAAAGACAGTGGGATCAGGTTTAGACATACAGAATTCCAGTTGACTTTGGGTCATTCACCTGGAGTTGTTCAAGTAAGAAAACACACTCATGTGGAGTTGTCAAGTAAGAAAACATACAGATCCAGAGCTTAGCAGCACAAGAGAGCAAAAGACAGAATTCGGTCACAGAAGTCATGACTTGAGTAAAATTGACCTAGGAAGAGTCTGTAGAAGAGAGAGAAAAGAGGGTCAAGGACAGAACCTCCAGAACTACAGCTTTAGCAAGATCTCAGAAGAAAGTAAGCAAGCAGGAAACCCAAGGGAAGAGGAGAAAGATTCAAGATTTAGGAGATGGCCAACATATGAGATGGTGCCCTTGGAATGTATAAGCTGGCTGGAAAGTAATCACATCTAGAGATGAAGAAATGAGGTAGAAACGTTGCCCATGACTATCCTTGAGTAAGTGCCTAGGAAGGATATAGACAGTTCTTACAGAGCTGAGAGGAAGGAGAGTATGGGGTTGACCTGAAGCTTGATAAAGCTGATGAGACTTCACTGAGCCTGAAATATGGTTAGAGAGAGAGAGGCCATTTCAACTAAGGCCCTGAGATTTGTTCAAATTCATCCTCATGTCTGAAAATAACTGGAGGTGGACTTTCTATTGATTGTGGCCATCCGTGTCATCTTTGAATAGTGAAGACAACATTTGGTTCTTTTTTAGTTATAATGCCTGTTGGTTAAACAGTAAACCATAAAACTGGATGCAGTGTGACCTGACACCTTGTACAAGGCTAAGGAAGTCATGACAAGAAAACAGTATGACTTATGTGTAGCAGGTTCATTCCAGAAACACAGATGTGTCTAACTCAGAGGACATCATGAGGGGCAGTCTTTTTTTTTTTAATTTTTTTATTTTTATTTTTATTTATTTATGATAGTCACACACAGAGAGAGAGAGGCAGAGACACAGGCAGAGGGAGAAGCAGGCTCCATGCACCAGAAGCCCAACGTGGGATTCGATCCTGGATCTCCAGGATCGCGCCCTGGGCCAAAGGCAGGCGCTAAACCACTGTGCCACCCAGGGATCCCCATGAGGGGCAGTCTTGATGGGAAAAGACAAGTTCTGGTTATGTGCCCTCCTTACTTTACGGTAGCTAATTCTAAAATCCCTTTGGTTTAATGCAGCCCCATATTTTCCCTAGCCTCTGGTGGCTAAGCACTAGGTATGTGAAAGGAAGCAAGAAAGGGATGAAATGTTAGTGTGCTCCCCCCACTCCTCTGCACCTTCCAGTCCCTTCCATCCTCTCATTCCATCCCACTGGCCTCTTTCTTCTCGAGACCGCTTGACTTACAATGCAGCATGGGTAAGAACTCTTCACTGACCAAAAGGGATATCTTAAGGACAGAAATAATCAGGCGTTACTTTGGGAAATAATCTGTCAAAATCTGCCTCTGCTAGTCTGCTCACAGTTCTGTCTTCTTATAGTGCTTCCCACAGCCTACACCATATCTGCAAAGAGGAAGGTAAGAATAAGGACAAGTCATTGGAAAGTCAGGTTCCACAGTGCTGACCATGCCACTTCCCTAGGGATATGACCTTGCACAAGCCACTTAACCTCAACTACACTCAGTCTTCTCAATAGAATTTGTGGGACAAACGAGATAGCATTTGTCAAGGTGCTTAAGATTGCAAAATGCTCTTCACATGTTCAGCAGTGGTCTAACATAGGCTATTATCGTAGTCATGAATGTGATTTGAAAGTAGAGGGGGACCAAAATTTCTCCTCCTCCAGGACCCTTCTAAAGACCTAGACCTTCCATTCCAGCCCTTGTATTCAACCAGTTTCCTCCAGAGCCCCATCTCTGCTAGTCCCTGTCAATCTGTGTTGATTTATCCTGGCTCATGGAGGGCTTACTACAACTGAGTAATACTCAGCTACCACCCCTGTTCTCCTTGCCTTAGCACATAGTGGAAGGCCTTAAAAATCCATTCCTAAAGAAGAAAAATGGTGAACAATTTACAAAATCCTTCCTGGGGGCCAGGCACTTTCTTTGCCTGAGATTCTGTTCCACAAACCACAGGCTTTTCCCACAGAGGAGAAATCAGGAAGCCTTTACAGCTGAGACCAGGGGAAATTACATTTCTATTAAAAGCTGTCTGTGGCTAGATGTATCCATCCCAAGTACAAAGTTAAATGATGTAATAAACTTATTCAAAGACAAAAAGCTATTACATAAAATGCCATTAAATATCTTCTACTCAGTGTTAACAAAATACAGCTATAAATTTTCTAGGGTTGTCATTTTGCAAGTCGCTGGTTCTCAGTGGGTTATGCATCTGCCAGTTCTTCACTGTTGAATTCTGTTTTCCAGTCCTGGCAATTGGGATGTCAGGGATGTGTGACTCTTTGAAATGTGATGGTTTTCAAGTTCTTGTGAATCTAAAGGTGCTCAGTTTCTTCTACGGCTGGCGTCTGTCTCCATTTTCTACCTCCTGGCTAAGTATAGTATTGAAGCCCCATATTTCATAAACTTGGAGATCAGAGGCAGGGAGGGCCAACCAACCAAGCCATAGCTCAGGATTCAAGGTTGGGAGCTGGCACATCTCCCCTGAACTTTGAGAGCGATCCACAGCTCCTTACATGAAGCTGTGCATCTAGTCATGACAGGGTAAAATGGAAGGGAGGAGTTGAAAGGAATACAGAGCATTCTCTCTGGGAAAGTTCTGTGCCCCCTTTTCGTGTGGGTTTTCACCTAAAACCCAGGTCAAGAGGAAAAGCACGTAAGATCCAGATAGGTCTCACTGAACTCGTCTTATTCTATGAACTTGTCAGGCTTTCTATTTACCTTCGCAAGCCAAGTCCTAAATCCAGATGGCCCCTATCCTTTGGCCTCACCAAACAGAATGGCAGTAGAATGGAGTGCGGGCTGTGCCAGGAAGGGGATGCAAGAGTAGCCGTCAGCTTTTGCCCAAGTCATGCAGGTTGTGCAGGCTGTGGGTACTCTTCCTGCACGCGCACAGTCAGGTGAGATCAGAGAAATGGTGACACGTGCCTAGGTCCTCGAGGCTTCTCTGTAGGGCCCCGCCTTGCACTTGCAGGTGCTCAGCCCTCACAGGGCTCAGTCGCTGGAGGTCAGCCGAGACAGCCTCTGATGCCCTTGCTTGTGCTTCTTCAGGAAACAGCATCCTCCACTCGGCAGCCGACAGCGTGACCAGCGCCGTACAGAAAGCAAGCCAGGCCTTGAATGAGCGTGGGGAGCGGTTAGGCCGAGCTGAGGAGAAGACGGAAGACATGAAGAACAGCGCCCAGCAGTTCGCGGAAACTGCTCACAAGGTGGGTCCTGCAGAGGGGCAGAGGTCCGCCTCCGGGTGCTCAGGGAGCTTCACCCCAAGAGACTTACTTCGGTGTGTTTCCCATGGTGGGAGAAACAAAATCAAAATCAAGCCCCTTTACACCCCCTCCCCAATACAACCTGCTGCTTTAATAAGTACCAGAATCGTGAAGGGTTTCTTCTTGTACCTGTTCCTTCATTTCTCTCCTTTCCAACATCTTTATCTCTGTCTCTGACCTTGGATCTGGATCTTTGGGAAATGTGGAACATCTTTAGTTCTTGGCCAGACTGTGAGAGCTCAAGTTTCAGGGAACAGGATGGGGAGCAGAGGAGGTCAAATCTAAGAATATCTCTCCTCCTATGGCCAGTGCTGGAAAAAGGACTTTGGGCTGCTCATACTTGCTTTTCCTTGCCGGTCATGGTCGTGAGCCCAGCATCCTGTGTTTTTATCTCTTCGCTGTATGAAAAGCAAGCTCTAGTCCCAGGGCGCAGGGCATCTCAGGGCCGGCTGCCCTCTGCAAGGGGCCTTGGATCTCTGAGGCTGACCTGACTCGTGCAGAGCTGCCCGCAAGGTTCCTACCAGCTCTGAATTCAGGTCACGGCATTTCCCATGTGACCACAGGCACACACGTGCACATTCACACACTCCCTAAGAGTGTGCCTTTCAGAAGGGGAAAGGGGAGTTTTTATTGGCAGCTGGCTCTCTGAGGCAGTCACAAACCAAAGGAAAGAGCAGCCCTGTTGGTCAGGTGATAAAGAGGATTTATTACTGATCTTATGTTTCAGGTCAAAGGGCAGTTGTCTGGCTACTGATTAGAATTTAGGTTTCCAAACACAACCCCTGCTGATAACTGTTGGCATCTCCGGCTCACAATCTGTCCTCTCAGATATGCTTTTCAGGTGACCTTTGGGGCAAAAATTAACTTGCTTCAACAGAAAACCCCATTTCTGCTGCAGAAACGAGAATGGACAACCTGACTGACAAGTAACAAGAAAAGTCTCCCCGGCTGAGGCCAGCTGCTCTCTCTCAGGGGCTCAGGCCCAGGGCCAATGGTGGATCTGAATCCCCAGGATGCTTCCTGCCTTCCTGTCCTGCATCCCCCTCGCACAGACCCGTCTCCTTGTGTCTTTGGCCCTCTGTCACCACAGGGTCTTCCTGCACCCCTGCCCCCACCCTGGGGGGCCCATGTGGGCTTCCCTGGAGGAGAATTGGCCAGATCTGGCTGAAAATGCAGGTGGTCCTGCTGGAGACCAGACCCTTGCTTGTCACAGAAAGAGGGAGCTCAGGTTTAAGATTTCCTGAAGGTTCACATTTAACATCCCTCCTCCAGCCTTTGTGACACAGCAAAAATGATGACATGGAAATGCCAGAATTCCCCTCCACCCCCAGCTTCACTGATAACAACAGCAAAATGTTGTGAATTAGGTGGAAGTCTGGAGAAACATTCAAAGTGTTGATATGGGGAAGAGAAAGCCAAAGGGAATAATTTTGTAATTGTCTTCAAGTCTGGGAGGGACGATAGCACAGGTATATCTCTTTTGTGCCTCACCACACAGAATAGACCATCCAGCAGCGCACTGATAAGATTCTGCTAAGACCAGAGTTTAGGCAGATGATTAAGTCATGAACCAGGTTACCATCGCTCTTCCCAAGATGGAGTAGACAATACCTGGAGGTCATCCATGTGGGCGTCCCCCTCGGAGGACGCTGTACAAACACTGGGTTGGATAACCTGACCAGATGGCCATGATTCTTGGCCCCAGTCACCCTGTTTCCCTGATGTGGTGGCCAAGTTTGCTAGGAGCTTGGGAAGGCGGGATGGTGTGGTTAACGTCTTGTGTTTGATATCCATCCCACTGACCTTAAGCAAGTGCCTAATTTCTCTAAGCCCCAATTCCCTTCTCAGTAAAATGAGGCTAATTAATAACAGGGCCTGTCTCCTAGGGCCTTGAGAGAGAATTGAATGAATTCAAACCTATAAATCTGTTATCACAATACCTGGCATATATAAATCTAAATTACCACTGGTCATAAGTATTTCCATGAAAATGGTTCTGTTGAACCTGCCACATTCAGTCACATAACAAGCACTGTAGGGGAATGGAGAAATGTGATAGAGGATCCCAACAAAGGGATGGGGAGGGATTGGTGGTAAAGAGTTTGTGCCCCCCCCTGCCCCCACCACCACCACCACCACCACAAGTGGGGTAGGCAAGGCTCCTGCTAAATGCTGGTACTTTCTAAACACAAAACAACCCTTGAATCAAGGCTGTCAGAACAGAAGCTGATTAGACCATCAAAGGCAATGAGGCCTCTGGCCTTGACCACTGCCAGCCAGTGGCCTGTTTTCAGTAGAGATGGAAGAAGGAGAGGACAGTCTGCCCTTGTTTTGGTTTCCCTGCCCTGGGGGTGTTCTAAGGGGGAGATGAAGGAGTTGCTGGTGTCTGTTAGTGTGTTCGAGAGAGTGTGAGCTAGATGCTGTCCTGGCCAGACATGGTTTTCTACAACTGGGATGTGTGCTTATGAATCACCAGTATTGGCAGTATTCCTAAGGAGGAGGTTGACCTCTTTAGATAAGGCATGACTATTTTTCCAGGGACTAAGACTCCGGATTTAAAGCCACTGGCGTGGCCTGACTGTGAAGATGTCATTTCATTGGCCCAGCCCCTACCCACCAGACCTGTTGGTGAGGAGAGCATTCAGAGGTGGAACCCACCCCTCCACCCCCAGACAGACAGCTCTGTTGATTCATAAACAGTGGGCCGTGTTTACAAGTTGAGACACAGGGTACATGTTAGCACCCTGAGCGACAACAGCAAGGTCAAGTGACGATTCCCCCATGCTCCCCAGTTAAGGGCACATGACCCCAACCAGAGTGTGGGACTCCCTTCCCCGTTGCAGGAAAAAAGGATCTTTCTAACTTCCCAGGACTCCTGCAGTGACCCAGGTACATTACTGATGGATCACCTTTGCACAGCCCTGCCCTCAAGACATGTGGGTGCTTGTGTCCAGGAGAGCAGATAGAAAATGCTCCTGCACAGCCCTCCCCCAAGCTCTGTTCAGCCTGCCTTGAGGAAGCATGGTTCCTTCCTGAGCTGTGGGCTTGGCACCGCCTCAGTCCTTAGGAAAGTACAGCTCAGCCAGAGAGCAGGCCTGCTCACTTTCCTTTCCCTGCCCCGAAAAGCACAACATTGCAGAGTATGCCATGGTATGACACCCGCCACAAGCAGTGAGTCAGCAGGCAAGAGCAGCACCCACACCTAGGCATCCTCAGATGACATTTCTCACAGAAACGAACAATGATCTGCCCTGTTTTGTACAAGCTAATGTTTCTAGGGGAGGGAGTGGTAAGTGGCATTTCCCTCACTGGCAAGGAGTGGTGGCCTCTGTCCCTACTATGGTCACCTGCTTCCTTTGGGTCCCTGAACCAGAAGGGACTTCAAGAGTCCAGGTCCCTTAAAACTGCCCCCAAATGTGAGAGATGCTTTGTTACTATTTAGATGGAGTCGTTTACATAGCTTTGAAACAGAAAGCTTTCCATGACATATTCAGAAAGCAAAATATACCAGAAGGAAATTTTAATCTCCTCTTTTGTAGGGACTCTGACATCTAAACTGATCCATAAGCATTTGAGTGGGAGGGGATAATTATAAACATGAGGAGACTGAGGTACGGAGCAGTTGTGACTTTAGAGCTCAAGGTCATGCAGCAAATTTGCAGCAGAGAAGCAACAGCAGCCCGCCTTCCCTATTCCAAAACTTCTAACTCCCAGAGAATTTTTAAAAACAACAAACAACAACAACAACACCCTAGGCAACATGGAAATGACTGCCACTTTCTGCAGAGACACTTCAAATAGTAAGATACCCAATCCAGTCGTATTTCTGCGCTGCTCAGTTGGCCACAGCCCCACCTGGCCGGGGCTCCGCTTAGCGCCAGCCCAGACACGCGGCAACGAGGGCCTCGTACAGGCAGTAGTACAACTGTTGCTGAAGATTAATGACTGGGGGTGAACCGGCACAAGCCCATTAGCTGAAGGTTAACAGCTCAGTGAATAACAGGACAGCAGCACTGATCAAATATTTATGTTTGGTATTCATTATGCACAACACTAACAGCCCCGTGTGGATTTGAACGGTCCACGTTGTAAATAATGTACTAAAACTAGAGACGGGCAAGAAGTGGAGCCCATGCCGCGTGTGACGGGGGAGTGGAACAGACCAGAAGGGGGGCCCTGGCTCTGCCATCTCCACCCCCCGCGTCTCCTGGACTGTAAACCCTTGGAGGTCAGGAGTTATTGGCCACCTGCACCTTTCTTAGCAAAAACCCACAGCCCTGAGCACGGCAGCGGCCTGGGCCTCCCGGTTAGGTGGGCTCCCCCAGGAGGAGGGGCTCAAGGAGCTCTTTCAGCTGAGGTGAATTTTAGCAGCACAAGGACTAAGCCCAGCGGTCCCCTCTCCATCAATGGCCCAGCGCCCCAGCTGCAGGGGAGATGTTTGTGGCTGTTGCAGCGGGCCTAGCTGAGGTGGCAGCCCCAGGGTGATGACTCAGTTCTGGAGGACACCAAGGAAAAGGAAGGGGAGCCTCAGATCGCTCTGGGTGACACTGGAGAGATGGATCACTGACACTGGCCAGGGTGATGGACAGCACGACTGTGTGGAATCAGGGGGATCCCTGGCTAATTCTTCAAGGACCAGGAACCTGGCCACGAAGCAGATGACAGGGCTTTCTACATAGCAGGTGCCTGCAGGGAATCACCTGCTGTTTGCTCAAAGCCGTTCCGAATGGCGGGACCCTGTCCTCTTCTCCCCGTCCCAACCCCAGTGGTTAATCCCTAATGCCAGACTCTAGACACATGAGGAATTACAATTCAGGCTCAGCTCTGCCCTCAGGTCCACCACAGTGTATGGGCTCCTTGGAAGGGACTAAGAAAAGCAAAGTCAGATTTAACTTTATGTTCCGCACCTGCCTGTTGTTTCCTTAAGTATATCATCGTGGGCTCTGGCTGGGCTCGGGGAGCTACTAAATGGTACCGTGGTATCAGTGTCCCACTGATGAAGGTCTCACACTGCAGCTCGCCACGTTTGGCGAACACCGGCGGGAGGGGCAAGGAAGGAAGGTCTGGACTGGGTCTGGTGTTCAGCCCTCGTCAGTAACACCACTTAAGCATCCAGGGCTTTCGACGGGGTGGAAGGTCCAGGCTGGATATTGAGGAGGTGGATGAATGGCAGTTGTCTTTCTACAGCTGATTTTTAATACTTTATGAGATATCAGTGAATACTTACATTTGAGGGGCGCTGGCTTTCCTGGATCACTAGTAACCCGGGAGCCCAGAGCGCTTGGTTCTGTCCCTACGTCGTTGGTGGCCCACCGGCCTGGGCCTGCGGGGCTGTTCATTGGCCCTGCGGCACGGGACTGCGGGAAGCTAACAGCGCCCCCCCCCCCCCCCCGCGCCCAGGATGCCTTCACCAGTGGACTCACATCAGGAAGGAATGGGAAAGGCGTGCTCAGTGGGCTCTTGGGGAAAATGTCGCACACCCACTAGATGCCCTGAGAATACGCTGGCGGTGGCCACAGCAAGGAGAATCTCGGTGCTGCCTCTCATCGTGGATCTGGGGAGGGGAGCAGCCCGTTCTCCCCAATGCTAATAATGCCTGACTTTGCCATCCCTCTGTTTCCTTAGCTTGCCATGAAGCACAAATGTTGAGAAACTGCCCACCTCAGTGATGATCCTCTCAAGAGGAATGGAAGAGTCTGCTCAGCAGTTTATACAAGAATTCCGGACCTCTGCCTGCTTTTTTTTTTTTTTTTTTTTTGCAGTTTATGGACATTTAGATTTTTTTTTTTTTTTTGCTTTTCCTTTTCAGACATTAATATGAAAGAAACAATGTTGTGTCTACACATTTCACTAATGACTGTGCTGAGAAACGCTGCAGTGGCATCAGCTTTGTTTGGTTTTTGGGGTTTTTTTTTTCCCACTATCTGTATGTATATCTTCATATGTGTCTTCTCTTCTTTTTCATTTTTTTTTCAGTAGTTTGAATATGAAATTTGGACCAACTGATATGCTGAGCTGGGTCTAAACTGACAACATGTCGTTGTAGTTTTCTTGATATTAAGCCAGAGGGGTGCCTGGCTGACTCAGTTAGAAGAGCATGTGACTCTTGATCTTGGGGTCACGAGTTCAAGCCCCACTTTAGGTGTAGAGATTACTTTTTAAAAAATGTGATATTAGGCCGAAGACCTTTCCATATGGTGACAGCAGATGTTATTGTTCCTGGTTGGAAATCAAAGCTGCAGTAACATTGTTACTGTTTCTCTGGCTCCTAGCCACTCTTAATTTGAAGGTTAAGATTCTATATCTTGAAACATAAGCCTGTGTTTTGGAAAACAGATTTATCAGGGGAAACGGCAGTCTTAGATTTTGCTTTTATGTAGTAATCTTTTGCATGAGCCATCACCAGCATTCAAAAAAAAAATCAGAATAACAGATAGAAATCTACTTTCTGAGCTACAGTCTAAATACTTCCAGGACTTGTTTCCATGCTGATTATTTGCAGTTATCATAGGAAGGGTAAAAACTAGAGATCAAAGATGTAAGGAAAAGCCTATTTAAAACCCTCTGTGCTTTTGGGGGATGTCTCTTTCTTTTGTCATCGTCCCCAATTATGGCAGCCAATATCAAAAAGAGCCTGGATTTTTATCAAGAATTGATTTGTCCAGAAAAAGGTCTGTGTAAATGATAAGGTGAAAAGATACTACGCTTTTCTTTTTACAAAGTCATGCCTATTTTAGAAGCACCCTCGCCCTATCCTTGGGTGATGGCCTTCAGTTTCTTGGTATCTGATTTTTGAAGGTTCTGATGTTATTTGCTGTCTATTTATTTAGTGTAATTGCAGGTGTGGGTGTCTTGACAAATTGGATTTCATGGTGATTGCAGCTTGCCCGGTCTGACATAAAACATGGTCATGAAGCCTTTACCCTGCAGTCAGAATGAATAAAGTTGGCTCCCACGCCTCCTGATCTTGGATTATTCCAGAGAGTGCTGGGTTTAGAGTCTGGGAGTTTTCTTTCTTTGAGGGTTAAATGCTAAACATAAAAGCTATGCTTTTTGTCTTCGTGAAACAAGGAGGCAAGCTGCACATCCCAGACGCAGTCTCAGCCTCTTGCTGTAGCGCATTGATTTTTAAGCTGCCTGAATGTTCAGGACCCCTTTCTGTTCCTTCCTACCCATTGAGCTGCCTCAGTCCATGTGCACTGTAGCCTCTTAACAGCAGCAGAGGACTTTAGGATTATTTATGCTGATTTAAATAGCTTAAGTTCTCCTGATAAAGTATTCCCTGGGAGACAAAGTTGGGCTATAGGGGGAAAAAATTATCTTAGTACATGTCAAAAGGGAGATGGGATTTACTGGAGACAAATTTCTGAATCCGCTTAGGAGGATGATCCAGTTCAAGAAAACTCTGTAAAATTAATATGGTAAACCATATAAGTTTACTATAATATTTTGTACTTTTCTTTCAGTGTCTAGAAAAGTCAAAGCAGCAAGGAACTTGCTATCTATCTGATGAGTACCATGAGAAGCATTTATAATTTCTAAGAAAAATCCAAAATACCACTCCAAATGGGTTTTGTTTGCAGACCTCAGGTCAGAAAACACACATACATACAGATATATTCATCTTCTGAAACTGGATTCTAGCTTCAGAGACATAGTTGGTATAAATAATTGAAAGGGTAAGTCTCAAACCGCCTGACAACTGGCCAAAATCAAAAATAAGATCTGTTGCCAACTATCTAACAAGGGTGTTTGCAGAGCTGCTTCTAGAGTAGCAGAGGCTGAGGTCATCAGCATACTGTGAAATTTGAGATTCTTCCTCCCTTGGTAGAATTGTGACAGCTACTCCTCACATCTTGCCCTCTTGTTTCACTCTGTTTATCCTTTTAGATGTCAGTCTTACTGGAAATAGCGTGGACTAGAAAAACACCTGTTAGCTCCCTCTGTTGATTTGCTTCCGTGCAGTGGCCACACCCTCGACCTCCCTGGGTCAACACCCCACCCAGACCCCCCTCCACCCCAACCAGGCCAGAACAGCAAGCCCCTGGCTTTCCTCCACCTCCTGACCTCTTACAGAGCTGCCCCATGATGACACATGTGAAGTTCTTTGCTATCCTTTTGTAGAAGGTGCTGCAAAACAAAAATATTAACACAGTGTAACTTAAAGCAAATCGCTAAAATGTCACGTTCTTTGGGACCAATTCATTTGGTGAAGCTGCTAGAAGACAGCTAATTTTTTGTTTTCACTTCTGCGCTTCATTACAAGTTTTTGGGATACTCCATCTCTGTGAAGGACTTCAGTTGTGCTGACCACACGTAGAGAAAAGAAGCTTCCCAGTATTACCACTTCTTCCTGGAACGTAGCTGTAGTATTCCTCACTAGTGTTAGATATCTGCGTACAGGATGTATACAGTTATTCAGGTTAATGTTTCATATTAAAGAATGTATTTGTAAAATGTAACAAGATCAGTAGTTAACTTTTTTTAAGCTCTGAAAAAATAAAGATTGTGTTAGACTTGCAATTACAGTGAAATCTGTCTTAATACTACTACTCTTGTGGCTAACAAAGATTGTGCATTTATGTAAAAATATTTACAGAATGCCCTCAATAAGAGATAATAAAGATAGGTTTTGCTTTTCATTTTTAGAATCGTGACACCGCTGCTGTCCGTTATACAGTTATTATTAATTCTTCAGAAGTTTATCTAGGATGTCAAATATAATTTTTGTTTCTTTCAGAGATAAGTAACACCTGCTCTATGATTCACAATTACCGTTAACTCTAATTTTGTCATTAAATATTTTAACTCTGTGATGAAAATTTGTTTCTCTCAATTATTTGTCGTATCTGTAAAACACGACCCAATAGGCAGGCATCATCATGCTTTTGATCGTGCTGGGAACATCTTGCGTGCCTACCAAAGACCTAAGAGCTAGGATTGGCATAATGATAGCATTTCCTTATATGTGTCCTAATGGGAAAACTTGAAACATAAAAAAGACAAAAAGGCTAACCCTAATTTAGACAATGAGCTTCTATCCAGCAAGAGGGTTGTTGTTTTTTGTTTTTTTTTTGGGGGGGGGGGTTTGTTTGTTTGTTTTTCTTCTCATGGGCGAAGGACTTAAGCCAATGAACAGTTCCCTTTCTGCTGATACTGGGGATGTGCTCAACTCAAATATTCATTACAACATGTGCCTTCATTCAGCAAACTAGTTTCGTGTCCTGTTAAATTGGAAAGAAGACTTGATCAACTTATTTCAATTTATTTTTATAGAAATAACTACCGCATCACCCTTTTGTGTTCAAGGAAAGTGACTTGGGTGACACTGTCCAGAGCAGCCCCTTGGCTTGGTGCGGACATGTCCCTTTAAAGCAGACAGGACTTTGACTTGTTTCTTGGGTGGAAGGGCAAGACTGGGGTCTCTAGTTTTCAGAAAAGAAAGGATAGAGAGGTGGCTTGGCTAGATGAAGAAAGCAGCCTGAAGTTAATTATGTAGTTAAAGGCACCAGTTCTTGCAAACCAATTATAAACCCATTGCCTTGCAGAGATGACTTTTTCTTAATATGCTGTGTATTTGTTAGCAATCATACCACAACTAATTCTCAATTTGGGGGAAAGGATTCACATGCTAAGTGCTATTTTAAAAAAAGAAAAATCAGTGATGCCTTCCCCCTTGCTGTCAGCGAGGACATGCTTAGGAAAAACTATTGACCCATCATAATCATCATCTGCCTACACAAACAGATTGAGGGCGGGCAGTGAGGGAGGTAGAGAGAAAAAGAGTGGGGAGAAAAATACCAGAAATAAATTTGACAGGAATGCAAATGTTTGAGTGTTATTTCTGTTGATAGTCGTTAGGCGTGCCTCTTCCCCCGGCGGAGCTGAGCCTGGGTGCTGGCTGGACATACGTCTGCACGTTCACACAGGCAGGCACAAACTGGCAGCGAGAGGAGAGCTGAGCTGTGCTCCTAGGTGGCCCTGAAATCGCTTCTGGACACCTTCTTGCCCTTCTGGGCACGGCTAGGCAGGTGACGGTATTTCCAAGGGTCACTAAAACCAGTAAATGCCCCAGGTGGGCCATTATCAGAGACCTGTAAAGACTTAAGCGACATGAGACAGGAGCACATCCCACCCACAAGGTGACTCTCGCTTTGTTCTGTAAACGTGGATGCACTCACGGCCCTCAACAGGGTGGTGCGGAAGACGGATTTTCCTTTGTTTTGCTTTTGAAACTCCTGGAATTACATATAAAACGATTTTGCAGAGCCAGAGCCAGCCTGATGCAAAATTCCTCATTCCTGACCTCCCCGCCAACCTGTCCTCCCTCCGTGACCTTTCACCTGGCTATGCAACCCTTTTTAAATCCTGCTTCACCCCGCAGCACGGCACGGCAGGGTGCCAGTTCACAGCGGCTCCCAGCAGCTTCCATCCTGCCTGCTTGACAGTCGCTGGGGAGTTCTGAGAAACGCACGCCGTTGACTCTCAAACTTGCCTCCTCAGTGGCCCTGGTCATCTTGTCTTTTGCAAAGAAAGGAGGAAATGACTTCAGCAGGCTTCGGATGGTAGGGCACCCGGCCTCCCTGGACACTTACTAGATTTAAACCAGCAAATTAAAGCTGTCAAGGAAATTAAATGTACTATGCATTTCAGCTCAATTACTGCTATAATGCAACCTCCTGCCTTGACCCCTATTATATATTGTCCCTTGAGCCCCATCTGGAGCCTCCGGATTTCCTGAGTCATGTTTTCACTCCCCACCCCTGACGTTCATGCCACGTTTTCTGCTTTCTGCTGCTGAGTGCCGGTGTTCAGGGGCTGCTGCAGGGCCCGTGCCACCAGGCGCTGCGGGCTGCGGGCTAGTGAGGCCAAGCTGTCCTGCCTCCCTCGGTTCCATGGGAAGCCGTAGACAGAACGGAGAGTGAGTCCGTGGCTGCCCTGTGCTGCCACTACCATCACGTTGTCTCTTAGACATCCTATATGCTAGTGATGCCCAGGTGGAGCACAACATTTTTTCTTACAGAGCATGCATTTGATTTTTCCTGTCTTTGTGTATTCAGCCAGCCGGCGGATGGCCCTTTAAATGGAGCCTGACCCCATCACAGCCCACATTTAGATGTGTCAGAGGCAGGACAGGAACCACCAGTCCTGGTCTCCCCTGTCAACACTAGATAGGAGCCTTTGTCCTATGACGTTGTATCCTAATTGCTTTGCCACTCATTATTTGTCAGATGACATAAAAAGAAGAAAAATGAGCCCATAAATTCTCAGCTTTATCCAGAGATCTTAAACATGGTTTGGATGACTCACAATCTCTAAAGAACATTTCTGTTACACGCTCTGACCACGTGCACCGAATGCTCTGCGTCAGTATAATGCCACAAAGCCGAAGCTTTCTGTCAGTTGTCTTTAAAGTCCTTTCTTTTACTACCCTAGGAAGGAAAACGTTGGTCCTACTACTGAACGGGGTTTTTTCATAGTGTAATGGCACATCCTTCAGGGAGTGTTTTAGACCTGGAATTACAGTGGCCAGTCCTAGGAGCCCCATTTACACTGATCGGAAACTTTCCGGTACTGATGGAGTCTCGGCATTTGGACAGAAACTGGGGGGGGGGGATCTGAATCGTACCCACCCCACCCCCGGAGGAAGACAAAGGAAACCAGTGTTTTACTGGCGCGGAGATGAGCAGGGCGCCCCCCCCTTGTGGTGCCTCCCTGGAGGCCACCTTGCACAGTGGTTGACAAGTGATCCCAGGGGCCTGCCCAGCTTCCAGTTCCAGCTCCAGTTCTAGTGGGCTGGGCCGGTGGTCTCCCGAAAGATAGATTCTTTCTGTGCCTGTTTTCTTAGCTTTAAAATGGGGGTGACTGTCTACTTCACAGGTTGTTATAAGGATTAAGTGAAATCATAAACGTAAAGCCTTTAGCCCCATTCCTGGCCCGTAAAGGCTCCATGTATGCCATGGCTCGGCAGCAGGCTTCTTCCCTATGTGGGATCCCAAATAAAGCAGTAAAACTTACAGGCTCGTGATGCCCGCCAGACCACACTGCTGGCCAGAACAATGGATGTGTTTTCCTTAAATCTATGTTGGCACAGGGCACATGGGCTGACATTTTCTAGGCCTCCTTGGCCATTTTGTAATCTATAGACATAGAACCCTTGACATTTCATATATCCAGCTGAGGCTCCTGACCCAAAATGCAATGCCATTTTCTGGAGGAAATCTCCAAAAAGACTAAATGTATAAGATAAATTGGCCCTAGAGTCTGTGCCATCAACTATAGGAATGGAAATGAATGGCTTTATGGCCTAGGAGATTATGTGATGTGTCCTTGAGGCAGTAATTCGTGCTCCTTTTAAAAAAGAACTTCAAGGTCCACAGATATATCAGTGTGATTCTAAGGATGCTGCTATTCAAAAATAAACTATTCCTAGATGACTTAAATTAAGAGCATCTTAAAGAGAACCATTTACTCTACAAATGGAACCTAGTTCCAGTTGGGCCTAGTGTGAAAATAGCCCCAAGAGAGAAAAGGAAGTAATTCATATCTCAGTGAAGCAGGCCTTTTCTGGAAGCATCTTTAGGCACTCAGCTAAAAGAAGGAAAGAAGGACCCAGAAAAACTGATGCCATCACACTGTTTTCCCATAGTTGTCACAGTGCTGTGACTTATGGTGTCCGAGTAGATCCAACACTATTAGGAAATTGGTCATTTGTAAAGGAGCGTCCAGACAAGAAGGATCTGGCTAGTTATGACAGCTAGGAAGTGCCCCAGCCAAACCCCAAACTCTACTCCCTTCACCATTGCACTAGGTGTTTTGTTTTGTTTTTTAACAAATTGCAAGCCACGCAAATTTCTCTTTTAAAAGTAAATTAGAATCCTTCCTAGCAGAGAGCCTCCTGGCTTTGCCATTAGCTTTTTGTCCTCGGGCAAATTACATCATTTTTCTGTATCTGGTTCTTCATGTTTCAAAGGAAAATAATCTACATCCTGCCTGCCTCACAGTCCTGGTGAGTGAAGCGAGGTGTGAAATATGAAGGCGCTCTGCAAAGTACAGAGTGCTAAAGAGGTATGTGTCACTCGCTAACACATTGGTCTGCGACTGTCCCCTCCCAACACCTAAGGGATTCCTTTCTCTACCACCTCCTCTCCCCCCATCGGTCTGACCCTGTGTATCAGATGGGATCATCATCCCCACTTACCCCCCTCCCAGGAAGAAGAATCCCCCACAGACAGTTTGATGGCTCTTGCCATCATGGGAAATAGCTCAAAGACCATAGTAAGAGACCGTCCCAGACTGCTCAGGGCAAGGGACACCTGGCCTTACAGGCAATCCCCAAGGGGAAAGACTCAGGGCATTCCAGAGGTGGAGGGAGAACACTGTGCTGGACAGGTTGGCCTGGCCACTGGACCAGAGGTAACTCTTGAAAGTTCTGACATCCTGATGACAACCTGTTTTCCAACCACCTGGGAAGACTTGTTGAGACAACAAACAAAACAAAATTTCAGAAACCAGTCAGGGAAGTCAGACATGCTCTCTCCTGAGTGGAGGTACATTCAGGTCTGTTTCTGGTTGTCCTAACATAAGATTAACATGGAGAGGGCCACGGAAATGGCAGAGGTCTTAAGAATTCACTGAGTAAATGCAAAAAGAATGATAATTAGAATCTCTCTGGAATCAGAGAGACAGGATACTGATCTGATTGAAGGATGCAATCTGAGGACATTCTTTCAGACGCATGGAAGACTCAGCACTCCTCAGCCCACTCAGTGGAAGCAGCATTATTATCCTGACCAGGGAGAACTAGGAAGCCACC